GAAGAAATATGACATAACGGATTTGTTTGTGCTTAAAGTCAGATAGCATTATGTCAATCAACATCTTATCTGAAAAGAAAATATCACACTATAAACCCACGCCTAAAATTCTGTACATTACATAAACACTGTCCAAAGAGAGCCGATCACTATTATTATTATTATTAAAAGTTTCCGTCCTAATGGTTAAATTTCCTGGGTTCGATCTCTGGCGGTAGAATCAGGTTTGCGTACTGACGAAGAGTTCCACACCAGGACGAAACAGTTGACTATCCAGTACTCTCCACTGGTTCTTCAATGGTGATCCTCAAACTGACGTGAATTCGTGATCAAACTGGATACCAATCACATCCTCACAAAAATGACAATATAATCATGACTAATCCTCAGTTTTCAACCTTACTTTCAAACTGTATTACTTTGAAAATCATTGGAAAAGATATTCACCCCCCCCCCAATGAAATAATTCTTAACTTATAAATCGTATTTCTATTCCAGTCATTAGCTAGTAAGTAGTATTATCGGCATATAGAGCATAGCCCTAATCCAATCCATTACTAAACCCCTCTTTTTTACTAGCTATCTTATGTAATCAAGCCATAGAATTTTTAAATCAAAATTTTCAAATCTGCTCTTCAAAGTTTAGGCCTAATAACACATACTTATGCCTTTCGGTAATCTTCTTCTTCGTCTTCTTTGTTCGATCTGGATGTGTTTTTGTCTCTTCTTTCTTCTTTTACTTCTGAATTTATGAAAAGGCTTTCTAGTTCTGACCAATTACAGCATTTATTCAAGCTTTATTCAACACAAAGCAGCCTACTTCCCAGTGAATTCCCTCCCTCTCCCCCTGCAGTGACCTTGACCTTGTTGCAATTACTTGATCATGTGAGGAAGAGAATAGAATTAGAGATTTTTCAAGGTTATTCAAGGATTAGTGGATAAACATGGGAAAAATGTGAAAAGAAGATTAAAAATATGGATCTTGAGAGGATTTATGCATGAATTATAGATAGAGGAAAGAATTGAACATTAGAAAGCCTGAATTGGTTTTTTTTTGAAAATGAATTGACACGTTATAGAAATGTTACTTAACTGATGTGATCATTTACAGAAAGATAAATGTTGAAAATTTCGTCTTCTACCTTAGACATATCAGTTAAAATGAAGACTAGTTAGTCAGGTGAAGCTACAAATTATTTTATCCAAGATTCCTGTGACATATATCTTCAGATGACGATTATAGTAAGCCTGCCAGTCGCAGGCTATCCCAGATGGTATGATCACCGTTAAAGTCATGCCAAATTAAGATGTAGCATATGTTATAGGAGATATATTCATGGATAGGTGGGAAAACATAGTGGCTGAAATGTTCACCCCTACGCCCAAAAGTGTGGTGGATGTATGTAGTTGACACATTCACTATACATAGAATACAGGCACAGTGGTTAGGACTCTTGCCGACCATCCACATGGTCAGGGGTTCGAGCCCTCGCCGACGCACACCTAATATCTATGGTCGGCCTGCGAATTTTGGGCTACCGATATCCACGCTGAAAATTCCACACATGTACCAAAAATACGGTGTGGAATCAAGCTGTAATCAAAAATAAAAAAAATAAAATTACTTACCTTATTAAACCACCTAACATGAGACAGAAATCGCAGACATCTATGATCGAAAGCAGTCAACCTTTTCATGTCTTTAACTCGTATTGAGCATGTTTCAGAGCCATAGAGAAGGACGAAGCGAACTGCTGAGCAGTACACACGTCCCTTGGTTGATAGCCGGATGTCACGCGTACTCCAGAGATGGTGTAAGTCAGCGAAAGCAGCTCGAGCCTTTTGGATCCGTGCTGAGATTTCGGTACCAATCAGTCCGTTGATGCTAATACAACTTCCCAAATAGGTGAAGTGGTCAACATGTTCTATCACTTCACTCCCTATCACTAAACTAGGAGTTGACGTAGTCCAGTCCTGTAGCAGCATCTTACATTTTGTAGGGGCGAATCGCATGCCAAACATACGAAGATTGCTGCTTAAGGTGTTCAGAAGATTCTGCATTTTGTCAGCATCCTCTCCTAACAGGACTATGTCATCTGAATATTCTAAGTCCATAAGACTATTCCCTGGTAACAAGTCGATTCCTAAGTCATTACGTTCAATTAAGGATACTTCCATCAACATTTCTATGATGAAGTTAAACAGAAATGGGGAAAGTAGACATCCCTGTCGGACACCACTGGTTGTTACCAATTCAGATGACAATTCCCCATAAGCCCTTACACGACTACGTGAGTTTGAATAGAGTGCCTTGATTAGTGCAATGTACTTTCTTGGCACTCCCTTCACAGTCAGACATTGCCATAGTACCTTTCAATCCACGGAGTCGAAGGCCGCCTTCAAGTCAAGGAATATGACAATTGTTGGACGCCGAAAAGTGTGTCTATGTTCTAGAATCTGTCGAAGCTCAAGACAACACCAACAATAAGGAAGCTAAATCACCAGTAATAATTCCATACAAAGAAGAAACCTCGGAAACCTTACGGAGAATTCTTAACAATGCAGAAATAAAAGGGGCTGGCATTCAAATCAGCCACAAACTCAATTAGTAATAAGTTTTGTCGGTTAAATGATCATCTTGTGGAGCCAATTAAACAAAACAATTCAGATTGTCTAATATTCTGCTGGAATGATTTTCAGATCAAATACATAGGTCAAAGTAGTAGAACAAGGGCAGTGAGTCAGACTAACCGAGCATCAAAACCTTTAAAATATAACTTAATAGGGTGGGGGAAGAGATTGTTAACGGAAGGTTTATATATCGAATCAATTGGGGGAGCACATGTAATAGGAATGATTCAACACCTATCCACGCGGATATCTGGAAAACTCTACTACCCCAATGATGACAAATAGGAGAGGACAAAGAAAACTACAAAACTCAGGTTTCGAAGCTGTGTGATTATAATTGATGCAATGATTATGAACAATGGATAAATTTTGTTCGAAACTGTGTCATCCAGTAAATAATAATACTGTTTCACTCACTGTGTGATACGTCTAATAAACAAACTAATATGGAATTACTTATTATTACAGTGCCCAAGTTTTACACATATATAAAATTAAGATATAATCTAAGTGGTTATCGAAAGAGTAATTGAACACCACTCATATAAAGTGGGAGTGATTGGGCTTAATATCGTTATTTGTAAAATTTCAGGGCAAGATTCCACCTCCTCAAACTGTGTCAATTGTGTAAATTTTGAATTAATTTGAAAATTATCAGTTTTATTTAATGTATTACCAATTCATGAGTAACCAGCTAGAATTCAGGATATTTGAACTGATTTGGCTCTCTGATATTCATAGTAAAGGATTTCATGGGTGGGGGGGGTATTTGGGATTTTTGTCACGAACCAACATTAGTTAGAGAGATTATTGTAAATCAGGGGAAATCGGACAGCCTGTCTAGTCCTATTTTTGAAGTCTTCATCAGTGTGCACCAACAACCGAACTAGGAATCAAACTTTGGACATTCAGATTAAGAGACCAAGCATATTGACCATTCAGCCCCGCGGGGATGGAATCCAATGACTGATTGATTGGTTTCAACAAAGGACTTTGCCACACTCCATCCGTGTAGCACACAGAAAGAGAAGAGAGTAAAGATATATTCCAAGAACAGATTAAATGCAGGTGTGTTAGGTGGGGGGGGGGAAGAATAGGAACATCGAAGAATAATATAGTTTCACAGGATATGACATATCACAAAGAGTGAATGTATCTGCGCCATCACCGACTGAGAACGATTTTAAGCCATATCACCTATAATTGTCTTTAGCTATCACTGGTTCTTACCATCCCGATGACCCTAACCAGCCAGCCACACAGTCTAAACGTCCTTACGTGACTGGCTTAAAAACTAACTGTTATGGATTTCATTGACTGATGAGGCGATATTTTGGTTTGACCACCACATGATAGCTCTTTTCCGACATGATCCATCCTATGTTAGTTAACACTGCCCGTTTTCGATAAAGGCTTTGGCTAGGGATGGATGAGTAACACAACTCCTAGTCATCTCCATCGATATAATTTCATAACCTCTTATCTAGTACTCGATTGATGCCTAGCCTCAATATTACTCACCTTATTATAACACTTAGCGCACACAGGAGATAGAATGCAGACACCTATGATCAAAGACGCCTAGGTAGTCCTTTCATGTCTACCACTTTCAATGGCTATGTCTTACAGCCATAAAGGAGGAAGGAGTGAACTGGTGAATCCAGTGACCCACGAATCCTAACTTGGTCAACTCATGAGATAGAGCCACACTCTCCAATGCCTTCGACAAGCATCTACTCCACCTTGACATAGTGGATTTTACTGGTCATTGGACCTCCTCATTGAAGTCTCAAGAAATTCATACACTGGTTATCAATGAGCTGTCGACTAATATTCAGATTATAGAATTTGGGGTGGAGTGGTGGGGGGTTTGGATTAATTTCAAGTGTTAAACTCTCGTCATGGACTAACATCAGCTAGAGAGAAAGAGGGAACTGAGTCGAACTGGGTTCACCACTGGTGATCTCACTCCCAAACGAAAGAAACGGTCCTCCAGGGTTTAGATCGTTTCAACCTGGCTAGCAAGCACTACTGATTGATGTAACTGGTACAAAACTACTCATCTCAGCCAATCAGTAGTATATGGCATCATGCATCTATGCTTGCTTTCTTGATTTCTATTTACGGCATAAAGATGATGACACGCTGGATTCTGAATAATTTGGATTTTCATCGAGAACTGTAGTGAAATGTCACCTCCTCGAATTGTGCAAACTGAAAGCTGAGAATTCGACTTAAGTAATATACGTATAAGTGTGAATTCAAACTAGCTTGACTTCATAACTGTTATGGCATCTTTAAACTCATAAACTTAGACAAAATAATTAATTAGGAATAAATGAATCTTATGTAGTTGAGCATTCACTTACCAAATCGAATCCTGACACTTGTTTAGCAAATGTTACTAAACGTGTTATTGCTGGTTCAATGAGATAAGCTAAATCATGAAATGTTGTCATATAAAATGCTCTTGCCTGGTTTATATCTTCTTGTTCTATTTCATCCAACTGGAATTTTAAAAAATAAAGTAAATATTTAGGCTACATACTACTGAAAAAAGCGATTTAAGCAACTATATTATACAAAATTATCCATAATTACTGTTGCGGAGCAATTAGATAGAAGAATGCCCTCAAGGCGCGTTTCATCCTACTCAAGATCTTTCAGCTGGAGGGGAGTGATAGTACATTTATGACGGTCTTCTAACTAAGCATGCGTCAAAGCGCTATCCACTAATCTGTTGAGTAACACCATTTGTTACTTATGGCGACTTAAAACCTCCAATTGTTTGTCTAACTTCACCGATACTGCCGATCCCTTTTGGTATTTTCGCCTCAAAATTTCTTTTATCCTAGTTGGATGTCTTTCGATAAATGATGGTATCTATCACACTGGAATCTAGGAGGTGAATTTCGTTCTATTTCGATGGTTTTCTGGGATTTGAAACGTTGGATGCTGGATTCGTATCCTATGCGGTGGGTGGGTGAGGGATCATCACGAACACAGGTACATCCCTTTCATGAACGCCAGTTTGAGTCGAGCATACTTTCAGGATTTAAATACTAAGCAGCACCTAATACATAAGAACACACCCACGTCAAAAGTATGATTGAGATTTTATTCTAGCCTATGTTTTACTACCACGTAACTTTGTTTGAATTATAATAGTTCTCCAAGTATCGCACCTTTACTAAATGATTCATGTTCAACAAGTTACATCATAACATGTAGTTGTTTTCAAGAGAGATGAGTTCATATTTAAAGATAAACGCATAATTTATATTAAAAGGTTGGCAAACTGTCTTTCTAGAATCCATGATTACATGTAGCTGTCACTCTAAAATGGACAAGTAAACTGAAGGCATCGATTCGCTGCTGTATTGTATCAAATTTGTGTGGATTTTGATTAATCCCACTGTAGACTTTGGTGCAAACTAATCTGAGAAAGGGAATCACTGAAATCCAAGAAGAATTACAAACTAGGACGAAGCGGTCATATGCTACTACTTGATTTCCTGTAATTCTGTAATTAATTTCGATTCATGCCACTATCTACACTGGAGTTCTTAGATGGTTGGAGGCAGCCAGAAGGAAGCCTTGACTGACTGACCTAGGTTTCGTGCTAGTTGACACTCACCAGTCAGTTAGCAAGGCGTATCTGTGATCTTGAAGGAATTCATGTCATTTCTGAAATTCGAACTCACGTCACCCGGTGCTAAAGTCAGTCAGGACGTTACCACTGATCTATTCAGGCTTCCGATTGACCTCCTGTAGGACTGTAATGGATACTTTGACTGAACATTAGTCAGTAACTAGTGTGGGGTGTCTAGTGGTTTCTTTACTGCAAACTGAATTCTATCAGTCAGGTTTACAATGCAGATACCCCTTACTGACTGGTGAGTGCCAACTAGCACGAAACCCTGGTGAGGCAAGGCTTCCTGTGTCCGATGGCCTCCATCCATCTAATATCATCAAAATCAATGTGCACCATGATGGTGAGTTACCTAGAATGGTGGTTGTGGAGTTCACATTTATTATCTAAGAAAATTTGTGCAAAATGTTCCCGAAAGAGGTATTCATTTGTGTGGTGGCATTTCATCTCCACACAGTGGATCACTGAGTAGTTAGTTAGAAAACCAGTCAGTTTTCTAATCTCTTACTGCTTAAAAATGAAATTTGTGGTTTAGAACTTGAAACGTCCTAGTGGCAGCTTATTAGAAGGTTTATGAGGCATCCTAATGGCTCCGAACCACCACCTCTAAAGACCTAAAATTTAGTAGATCGGACAATGTTTAACTTAGAAGTTCTATTATTCATTCATTATGTACGGTGACAGTTTTAAGGATAATGCAAGACCATAAATAACCATATGCATTTGCTGTAAGTTCGATTCCCAGCCATCGCACATTCAGGAACTTCACCTAGCCGTTAGGTAGCTCGGTTAAAAAGGAGTGCTGAACGTAAGAATAGCAGCCCCACTCCTTGAAAAAGGACACAAGATCTACTGAAACTTCAAAATTCAAAACTTGTAGTCCTATGTCCCATTCAGAACTCAAAGGAATGAAAAATTACACCACTTATATGCGGACTGATGCCACTATCTTTATGCTCAAACCTCCAGGAATGAGGCAGAGTTTAGACCCACAAATCAGCAGTTGGAGTTTGTAGAAAACAATAACATTAATTCTTTTTATTTTTAAACTCACCTTTGTAAGAAACCCCGTCACATGTGAATCTACGATGCTTTTAATAACAAATTCACCTGAATTCATTTGAACATCATCACTGGTGTTATCCGTCAATGACTTCTCTTGAGGAAATTTTTTAGTAGGCTGGAGCAAAATTAGAGAAAATATGTACATATATACATATACATACAAACATTGCATTCATATATGGTTCTCTAACTGATGTCAGCTCATGATGAAAGCCTCCATCCAATCAAAATAAATCCCTACAAAACAACCAGTACTTGAAAATTAATCTGATGCTCACTAGCGACTGGCTCTATTCAGGCAGTTATCTGAGGTTCTAGTAGGAAGCCGTGACCAGTAGGGTAAAGCATGTTGAAAGTCGTTCAAATCGTTCTCAATGGCCAGCACAAAGATACATCCATTCCTTGTGACTTATGATCTCCAGTGAAACCGTTATTACTATTCCTTTGTCTCACACCTCTGTCTACTGTCTATATTATGCATTTCTTCTAATTTCTTCTCTTTCTTTGTGTGCTACAAGGGAGGAGTGTGTCGACTTGAACTGCCGCACATTTGTGCAAAGTTCTGTGTCGAAAATAGAAAGACAGACAGGTTGAAGGTGATACAGTTACTCATCAAAGAAGACATTATGAAATGCTCGCGCTATGTCATGAATTAGCAGAAGTTAGAATTCATGTGCTAGCCATTGGATCAGGTCCAAGTGGCTCAATGGTCTACGAGCTCGCTAACCTAGTAACCAAAAGGTCCTAGGTTCCACCCCTGTCGGTGGAGGGTGCCTACTGCGGAAGAGTCCCAAACTAGGACGAAACAGCTGTCCAGTACTCCCAGGTTTTCTAGTGGTTCTCTAACTGATGTCAGCTCATGATGAAATCCTCTGTACAGACAGAGAGAATAGGAAGAAGTTGATATAAGAATAAAACTTGTGCACTGTGGTAGAGTGTAATTCCATTATGGGTAAATTTTTGTTTTGATAAAGTCTCACAGTGTTATACAGTAATGTTTACTGATGACCACGTTTCGAGCACAATTTATTGCTCATAATCATATCAAGGCGATATGATTATGGTATGGTTATGATATGATATGATATGGTTATGTATGATATGATTATGAGCAACAAAGTGTGCTCGAAACGTGGTCATCAGTAAACATTACTGTATAACACTGTGAGACTTTTTCAAAACAAAAATTTACCCATAATGGAAGAATGGGAAGAAGAATGATATGGCGACATAAAATATAACATAGACATACTCCTCCACTGTTAAATGGTATAATAAGGTTGGATAATATTGAGGTTGAGCGTAAAGTGTTACGTAAACCGAGTAAGTCAATCGATGGAAAGTTGTGAAGATGAACCAATTTGGGCAGATAAGATACGTGTTGCACTTGACGAGTTAATATAGGAATAGGTCAGAAATAAGTATAGGGTGTTTAAATCGAAGTCTGGCATCAGTTCATGAAGTCTTTTTTAAGATAAGATAAGCTTTATTCCAAATCAATACTTGTGATACAGAATGGAATTCTCAGCATTTTTACTACAATATTGCATCCAGTTAGAACATTAACAATAAATATAGTTCTACATAGATTAAGGTTATCTCAGTCAGTTTTGACAACAACATATTAGTATGTCGGTAGCAAAGCCAAAATTTAAACAGAGTGTTTGAAGGTGTTAGAAAAGTAGATACTACTAGCATATTTACTGGCGTAAGCGATAGCAAAATGTTCGAGATATACAGAGTGTAAAAGAACGAACAAGAATGTTTTAAGTAGAGTTTGCAAGGAAGAGAGAAACAAAACAGCACATAACAAAAATAAATACAGAATGAAGAGCGAGAAAACGTTGTACCTATAAATGATGTGAGTTGGAAAGACGAGATCCATTGGTTCTGCTGACTATTTAATAAGTTAAAGGTTTCACGCCTAATGCTTTCTTCTCTGTCGCACAGAACACGAGCTAAGTAGGGTATGGATGAGTTTTTGTACTTGCTAGTGCGGGCATATAGTTTCCTATATAGGCTTCTGGCTTTGTCTGATGAGATAGATACACGGGGAGAGTTGTGAATGTAGAGGGTGTTGTGAGTCAGATAAAATGGATTTCGCCCATTTTTCACATAATTCCATGTGCCTGTCCACCAGAATGTTAACAAGCTGGCTAAGTGGCAAACTGCTTACCCTTCTTTGAATGTAGATTGGAGCCAATATAGGTACGTAAAGATTGCTTGAATGGGGTTCTCGAGATTCTAGGAACGAGTTGCTTAAAGCTATTGGTGATGTGGTTCTCTGATTCAATCTCTGTGACCTTCGATATCCATGGAAATCTGTTGTTCTGCACATTTCTGTTTAATATCTTTCTTTTGAATATCCCTTTTCTGCTCTTTTGTCTACCTGTGTGTGCTACCTGGAGTGTAGGAACTTGGAATGCTGCACTTCCTTGTAAAGTTCTGTAGTGAATTGTACTCACTCAATCAGCTTTTTAGTGTGTTGTTTCCAAAGAATGTTACTTTTAACCATTAAAAGAGACACAAAGCAGTTTGTAGGTGTCCATTACAGGCAACTGTAAATCACAACGAAACCAATCTGACTGACTGACTGTCTGGTTTCAACATAGAACTTTGCAACGATGTCCAGTAGTTAGAGTCGCCACACTCCGTGTAACATACAAAGCAAGAGAAGAAAGTAAAAAAGGAACCCAAAATAGAGAGAGAAAACAGAGGTATGAGTCGAAAAGAATGGTAATATTGAAGAAAGGTATAATTTTATTGGGTATGATAAATCACAAGAAGTGGATGCATCTGCTCCAGCCATCGCTGAGGACAATTTTCAGCCATATCAACAATTAAAACAAGCAATAAAGGTTAATAGAGGCAGGATGATTTAATGAATTCAACAAATTTCGGTAGGACTCGTCAGCTGCTCACTACTCTACATACACGGTATATATATATATATATATATATGCCATTGAAATTACTTTGGGAGATATAAGACTGATAAGCACAAACAAACTACATTGAATTAGTCATGCAGAAAGACAAGTGTGTGTGTGAATGTTTTCTAGGTCATATTCAAATAGATAAGTGGAGAGGGAATATGAGAGATTAAAATTAAGATAAATTGCATTACGCTTCAATTACGCTTCAATTTGTGGAAGCAAATACATATAGGCGATTGTCTACTCGCATGATACAGCATTTGCCGGAACGGTTGAAAACAGCTGAGTGCAAAGTGCAACTCTACGCATCATCATCACAGAACAAAGCATGGAATGGCAATCAAACCTCTACCTCAACTTTATAGACTTTGAGAAGGCCTTCAACAGCATTGACCGAGAAGTAATTTTGAAACTGTTCGAGTACTACGGCGTACAGTGCCCCAAATATTCAACAACCTTATTCAATAGCTGTACAATAACGGCACATGTCAAGTGATCCACAACGGAAAACTCAGCGAGGCGTTTGGAGTAAATGCAGGAGTCAGACAAGGCTGCTTGCTTATTATCACCAGTGATATTCCTAATTGTGGTGGACTGGATTATGCGTCAGACAGTGAGTGGGAAACGAGAAAACAGGGACACCCTGGACAGACAGACGTGAAGAACCCAAAAAGACCTGCATTTCGCGTGTGGATGATTTATATTTGATGTCACTGTCACAAAATCGAAGACTTACCAGCGAAAACCGACAAACTGGTCGAAGAAGCAGCCGGCGAAGACAGGACTCCAGGTGAACATAGACAAGACGGAGAGTATGAAAATAATCAACCAACCAACAACAACAACAGCAGCAAAATCCAGCGCCAATCACCGTCAACGGGAGGGATTTGAAAGAGGTCACTTCATTCAATCACTTATCTAGGGAGAATTGTGTCAACTACAGGAGGAGGGACGGACGAGGATGTCAAATCGAGAGAGAATCGGGAAGGCGAGAAACACATTCATCAACCTGAAACAACCAATCTGGAAATCTTCGTCACTCAACCAGGATCAACAACAAAATTCGGATTTTCAATACAAACGTAAAGTCAGTTCTTCTATACTGATCAGAAACTTGGCGGGCGGGTCGCAAAGAATATTTCCAACAGCCTGTTGCACATCTTTATTAACGATTGTCTTCGCTGGATTTATACTGAAGATCAGATGGCCGGGCCGGAAAGAATCACCATAAAGGAACTATGGGAAGGAACAAACAAAACAAGAACCAATCGTCAACCAACAAATATGCGGGAGAAAGTGGATTGAATGGATCGGACACTCGCTAAGGAGACCGCTGGGTGACATCGCGCGCGCGTCAGGCCATTGCTCGAGTGCAATCAAGCCGAAGGGTAAGCGGCGAGTGGGACGTCAGTGCAAGGGTGACATGGAGGAGATCTTGTGAAGAGGAGTATGGACAGTATGGACTAACATGGATGCCGGTGAAAAGTACAGCAGAAGACAGAAGCAAGTGGAGACATACAGTTGAAGCCCTGTGTTCCACTAGGAACCCAAGGGAGCAATAATAATAATAATTGTCTCCAGGCTCTCTTGGTGTTTACTGTCCCGAGGATCCCAACCAGTCAGGAAGTCTACACCTTCCTACATGGCTAACTTGAACTAGCTGTTGTGGATTTCATTGACTGATGCCATGTTTTGGTTTGACCACCACTACCTAGCTCTTTTCCAGACTGACACTATGTCAGCTAGCATTGCCTATCGAGGAAGGCATTGCTTTTTTATTGGCCCTTTACTTAAAGGTTAAATATCTTCTCATCCAGTGTCTAGTATCATCAGCCCTTACACCATAGACATGACTCACTGTGATGAACGCCATCATCATCATTCATGTGGTTGATAGGTAATCAATTTGAAATATTTAACCACAGATTAGTTCATTTAAAACAAAAAAATTGATCGAACAACCTTGAGAAACGTTTATTATCTTTGATAAGATTTATGTATTTATTTATACTTTAGAAAAAATATACATTCTAGAATATTGCAATTTCATTTCATTTTATGTTAACGTGTTTTATTTTTGAAATATAAATATGAATAAGTTAAATGAACGATTAGATGATTAGATTACTTATTCAAGAGTTCAAGGTCAGGAAGAATCAAATATATATATATATTCTAA